GGGGCGGAGGGGGTTGGAAGTAAAACTGGGGTTGGGAGACAGGGTTGGGGGAGAACGACTTTGGGTTGGGAGAGAACGACTTTGGGTTGGGGGAGAACGACTTTGGGTTGGGGGAGAACGACTTCGGAGAAATACTGGTTTGCACATGTTTTTCACACTTGTTTTAAATTAAGTGAGACAGGTAACAGTAGTAAACAGAATGTAAGTAAACAGAAAAAATCATCAAAAATTTAAATAAAAAAGATACATCTATACATGAATAAAATAAATGAATAGCCAAATGAAGCTGAAATAAAGAAATCTGTAATTATTCGAACATATATTCCAGTTGACTGATTTAGATCTTTTTGTTATATTTATTTTAGATATATAACATATCAAGTCAACTCAAATATTGAAAATAAAGAAATAAAGAACTATGTCGCCTTTGGGTTACTATAAGAGTACCATCCCTCTGTGCAATATCATATTCCTCTCTTCAAATTGACATTGAGTATATCATCAGTGCATCATGTCGGCAGAGTAATGACTTTTCCCATTTTTTTCTTTATGTATGTTAGGCAATAACAACATTTCAAGTCATTCGTTTCTACTTCTCGAAATATTTGGCCTCTGGCAGGTAAGACTTTAAGGTTGCTCATATCAACAGTGCTTCGTCCCGTTATGACGTAGCCGACAGAAGCATTAAGCGAGTAAGTAGAAAATGTAACGAATACTGGTGACTTTGTATGACTTTGTATGATTTAAGAGCTAAGATCAAATAGTAAAGTACATCTAAATATTTTAGATCCAGGTATAGGAAATGATAGGATAATTGAAATATTTGATCATTAAAGTAGCATGTGAACCCTTATAAACACAATCCAGCCGGTAAAACTACCAAAGGTTGTAAAGGTTTTAGACTGTCAGTGCTTGCCTGTAAAAAGAACATGCGATTTGCAATATCTCATTGCAACATATTTCTTTTGGCAACGTACCCAACCTACACAGAAACGTTTCAGAGAATTCAGACATATTTTATGTATACTTCCAGTTGATTCTACTTCGAACTTAGTAATGGAAACATAGGACAATGTTTTTTTCACATTGATCTACGCCACTGCTGACCACATAAAAGAATGCACTGAATCTCGCCAGTGTTGGAACAGGCTACACTCGCTGCTAATCGAAAGAGTTAGGTACCTTTCACTGGTCAGTAACTGCCAAGCTGTAGTGACAGTATAATACAAATAATGGCAATATCTGCAGCAACAATATGTCTACTGCTTTAAAAAAGGTGTTTGCTCTAATAACTATTTGGCTTAAACATTGAAAACAAATTGAAACTAATAATAAAAATTCGAGGTTCTGATATACCGCTTTATCACAAACCAGTTTGTGGGTCGTATTATAGCGATTCACAAGTTGTAATCCGTGGTTTTAGGCCTTTGCAACCAACCAATATATTTCTCAACTCCCTTTGGGGCATACAGCCGGTGCTACCATGTCGACGCTCACAACTAGCATTCTACAATCTTAGCACTGCCCAACCACGTACTCATTTACACCCGAGTAGACTAGATTTAGTGGAATCAAGTATCTTGCTCAAAGATACAACAAAGTGCTGCGACATGACTCGAACCCTCAACCCTTCGGTCACGATACCGGCGTCCTACCCTTAGACTACCGTGCCTCCTAAAAATACAGTTCTGACTTGTACATCAAAGTGCAAATTCAATTCTTTCAATGGCTTTCAATTGATGTGTACATGTACTAAATCCCAACATTCTTTTCTAATATCCTGACAAATGTCTACTTCTAAGAATACTACAATGTAAATTCCCATTAACGGACAGTTTTATACTTTCAAATCAAATTAAATGCCTCGCACATTGAAAATATAAAATCGTAACAAAACAAACTATTATGAACAGCATATTTGCAATAGCTGAACGTTTTTATTATTCTTATTGAAAGATAAAAATAGTTAGCATAATAGCATACATTATACATTATAAACAATAGTTATTGTTAAATTTTCTATTAATACATGTATACTTCAAAAACATTCACGTGCACATTGTATTTTACGTTTGGAATACTTACCTTTCTTGCTGCTAACTAGGCCTTACCGTGAGTAAGTACACGTGTTATGTCATTTCTGGTTAGCAGAGATATATTGAATAACATAAAATGTTCGTTGCGTATGAACATTCGTGGTTTTCGAGATTGGTATGGAACCACGAAAATAGATACAACGAATGAAATCAATATACATGACTATTGTGTTTTTATATGGGGTATACACGATTTTTTTTTGTACCACGAAACGGTATAAATAGCTTCATACCACGAAGGAAAGTACGCACGAATACTTCATGTTATACAGTAATGTTTAACGCTCTACCTATAGTTTCTGAAACTACAAAGTAAGGAAACGTCAATGTCAAAATTAAGCTTTTTGATTAAGAGAGACAAACGTGGTTTGATTTGGTTACCTCGATAGGTTTAAGCACTCTATTAATAGCTGAGTTAATCTAAAAATGCACCGAGATGTATTGTTATTTGTGCATGTGTGTAAGAGACCATATTTTGCTGTATTTGCTTCCTTGCAAAGCGTAGAGCTAATGCCGTCATTTTAGTGACACCTCACCGAAATTCCATTTCGACGATACTTTGTGTCGTCTTTCCTTGGGACAGAATCCATTGCCTTCCTCACCTGGGCGAACGTCCACCACTAGGACCAAACGCGAACTGTTACTAAGGAAAACGCTGGGCAACACAAATACTGTTCGGAACTATAGAGAAAACATTCAATTCAAAAGTCGCCATGGATGCAACATATTCACTTTAATCACGTTTGTACTCCAAAGAAAAGGGTACAAATTAAGTTTTCCTATTCTGTAAGGGGTCCATCAGTAGCTTCTCAAAATATACAATGGATACATTCTGTAACTGCAAGGGTACCCTTTTCTCCATTCCCGACCCGCAGATATTTTACAAATGCATGAGATCATAGGCACTCGTGTTTTAATTATGCCTTTTATTTTATCTTAAAACAACAGCTTGGAATTTTTGTAAGTTAAACGATGAACGTTTGAAAGTACCATGTTTTTTTCTTTCTAATTCACGGAAAGTAGCACGTTTTAAACATTCTGGAAATCGAGTCTATAAGAAAAAGACGTTTCCCCATTGCACGCTTTTAATGTTGGGACATATGGTGATTTTTTTCACTGCAGTTATTGTGGTTTTTAGAACTTATCATTTCTATTATTTTTAATATTAATTGCATATTTATTTGCTCTTTTAAATATTGGGTGGCTTTGTAATTGTGGAATTGACCTTTACAAATAACAATGATCAGCAAAAATTGGAAAAAAAGTTATTTTGTATTTTTGTTTTGAAATATCATTTAAACGCCCCTTCTGGGATCCTGCATTTTTCCTAAATTTAGTGTTCTTTGGCAGGTTGTGTTGTTTCTGTGAGTACTTTGTCGTCATATCGTCCGAAATCATACATTTTTGCCATCCGTGCGTACATCTTTAAGCTCATATTTACATCATTAATGATACATGTACGCAAACCAATACTAATAACTAATATTGTAAAACATATTTTTAATCGATTACGTACGTTAAAGTAATATTTACAGTAGTATTTACAGAGGTATAGGATATATATCATATATAATAAGATATATTTCATATATCATAAGATATATATCATAAATATGCAAATTAAGAAAAAAGGACGGAAAATGTAGTCTAATTCATTTTGTAATTCTTTAAAATGAAGCAAACTACCATTGAACTAAATATAGAAGCGTTTTACATTGCTTGATATTTGGGGTGGGGTATTACTATATGATATCGGATTTTTATGATCTAACAATCAAGCCAAACATTGACATTTCCAGCTGTCTGATTGGTTATCAGATATATATTAATTGATCAGTATTATGTATTTTCATCGATTTCAAACCCAACAGTGTCCCTTTCCGTTAGCAAAAAATGTGTTTGAATGTTATTTGAAAATAATTTTATTTGATGATTGATTTTCAATACTTTATTTGCAAGATATTATAAAACACAAAAAGAGCGCAAGATGCTCAGTTACAACAAGTAATTACTTTGTTATTGTTGTTGTTGTTGTAAAGGTAAATGTAACTGATGCTACGTTGATCGAAAATATTACTTATAAGCATGTTCTGTTTTTAACTGATCAAATTGATTTCGTTATACCGGAAACTTGTGTTATACTTGATGTTCATTCATCAAAGCAACGTTTATGTATTATCATCAGGGAAGAAAACAAAAAGAACTATTACCTAACAACTGGTTATACAATGCTGATTTTTTTTCTCGACATGAGATGATATGAACAGTGGTCTATACTTAGAAAAATACCACGAGGCTTAAAATGGTAGCATGGCGTCGGAACTGAACAGTGCGCTTTAAGATGCCATTGTTTGAAAAGAAAGTGGTCTCACTATTTTCCAAATTTGCCTGCTCAGGTATCTTGTACACAAAAGAAAATGACACTCTTAGATTGAAGTATACAATGGTATATGTGATACTGACCTCGTGTTTTCATGTGTGTTTTTAGGGGTTGTGCTGTTTATGTTTTCCATTGGTGACTTACTATACACCACCGTCTGTTAATCATACGGACGCTAAAAAGATATAAGATAAGACAATCACACATGCGTATCTTTGTTTGAAGTAGGACATTTTGTTATAAAACTGCAAAAAATATTAATCGGTTTTGTTTAAAGTACAAAATGCAAAATTTATTTATCGATATATTTAAGTGATAAAGAATCTAACTTTGCAAAATATGACGCAACCATTATAAAAATAACAATAAAACACGTAAGTGACAGCTGAAAAGTTAAAAATTCTTTCATCCCGAATTTAGTGTATTTTAATTTCATAGAAACATATGGTTTTATTGTTATAAGCGTTGTCTAAAGTTATATAAATACGTCGATCTCCCTTCAAAATATCACTTGTGCGGGGTATTCCACTTTGTACCAAGATGAATGCATCTTTACTGCTGTTGCTTATTGTTGCTGTCCCTCTAGCCAGTGGAAGTAAACTTGAAGGAAGAGGTAAGTGGTTTCTGAATATTTTATAGTTAAGGAATTCATTTTCTAACATTGATATGGTCATAACAACATTGAATTTTTTGAGATATTTACCATGAATCGCTAACGTTTTTAAAGGCTTTGGATTTTCCGATGCGAGCAAAATTAAAATAGAGAAACAAATACAGATGTTTGTTTCTATTTGTACAAGGGGTCAACAAAGTAGAGAGAACAGTATCATTTGGCGGGAAAATGTAAAACGTGCGCCTGGGGTCCTTGCATAAGCTTGACAGCAAAGCAAACAAACAAAATATAGTTCCATTTTCAAAACTTGATTTGTAGAATAAACATAAACCAAGAACGCTATGTTCTACGTCATGGTAGGGTATGAATACGTAGTGATTGAGGTCCCTGTGTTATGCAAATATGAAATGTCAATTTCATCAACGGGTCAAAGCATACAGAATGTAAATAATGACTTCTATTAAACTGTTTTCACTCTTTTTACTGTTCGTGGATGTTCCACTCGTCAGTGCAATGGCAAAGTGTATCATTTTGTTTAAATGATTTCTTTATTATTTTTATTCATTTCGTAGGCCAATGATGGCCCAAAGCGTCTCTAAATCTAAGATTTTGATACGTCTGATCGAAGTTGAACAATTCCAAATAGGAAAATAATAAAAATTGAATGCGAACATTTCGACTAATAAAATAACTGAGATACTTTTGAGACTTCTTCTAAGAAAAAAAGCTGCGTCTGTATTTATAACTACATATATATATATTTGTTTTAACCTAAGGGAGATTATATCAAGGAGGATTTAAAATAATGTTTTACGAGTTCAGCATTATGTATGGGGATGTCAAGCGACAACACTGAAAGCGGATTAGTCCTGAGATTGTCAAATTCAACCGTTTTAACGTTTTCTTGTAGTTACACGGCTTGGAAGCAGTGGGATAAATATATACGGTAGTATTGATCTGTAAGAAAAAAAGAAAACAACAACTGTCTTAGAAAGCATATTGTTACATTTAAAGGTTGACTACTCTTAAGAGGGAGGTCGTTAAGATTTTTAGTTCATACAGTTTGTAGGAGTATTTCAACAGACAGCAGTTCAGGTGGACTGAATGTGCCTCAATGTTTACGAATCTAATCTTGCATCTGTGAAACGCTGGTTTTATGCAGACGTTGTTAAAGATATTTTACATAAATAACCGATTCATTTCACATTCAGATATATTGAAAATATTGATTGCGAAACAGGATTGGTTGTTACTGGTACAGCTATACATGCGTTTCGATGTTCTGCCAACGATTTATTTGAAAAGCACAACTAGTCTTCCTTTAATTCAGGTTCTTATGAGACGTTTTCCTAAATGTGTAACACTGATAGCCATGCATTTACCTAATTTGCAAACTAGGAAGCTTTATTATCTTTTTATTTATCTTTTATTGCTTTATTTGAATAAAATGCTGACTTTTCTTTGATTTTTTTAAATTTCCTTTAGTGTAATGTAGGTTAAACTTGATCTGAATAATGCTCTTGACACAGGTTTTTTTCGGGGATAATTAAAAAGTCAAAACGATTTCCCTGTCCTATGGGTGTCTGCAACACATTGGGTACTGTTTAGTTCCAATACATTAATAATTTTTTCTGATGTTGTATTAATTCATTTATCGAGTTTTCATTTCATTTTTTTGTGTCAAAAATATTTGGAATTGCCAACATGGTAACAAATCATCTTGTTAAAAGTAATGCAGATAACAAATTAAAAAAAAAATGGCGATGGAATCCAGGTTATTTACTTGTTTTTTCTGTTTTTGTTAACATTACCTACAATTCCGTTGTTATTCGTTTTATTTCTTATGCAGATGGATGTCCTGAGATTCTTGGATCTATTCCATGTGGTGAATATTGCTCATCTGATAATGATTGCGAGTCTTTTGAGAGGTGCTGCGCCACTGAACGCGGCTTTGCGTGTATAAATGTCTGTGTAAGTCAAATATCTCTCTTGCTCTACAAATTCAGTTCCATCAAGTGAAACTTTCTCTTCTGTATCCAAAAGGGTGTTTCATGACAATATTTAAAGGGATGCTGGGTTTTTTTCTTTCTTTTTTTCTGCAAAATAGCTTCGACACATATTGTAAATCCCAATTGGATGACTGGCCGATATATAAATAGATTGACGGAGGTACATCTTTGTTTAGTAATTAACAACACTGATTTATTTTCAGGGATTTCAATCAGGGGGCTAGAGGATATTGGGAAAACTGACATCTTTTGGATCAAATGGAGCATCAAATATTAAAAGTCAACTTGTGAATTTGTTGAAATAATTACATTTGTGATTCTGAACTGTAATTTTCTAAAAGATAAAATCCTGTCAGCAATGTTTAACTGTTTCTTTTCATTCATTTTAATCACCTGAATCACATTTGGCATTTGTAAATGATGTCATTGTCTCTCTCCTAAGCTAATTTCACAACAGCATTTCGTGTATATGTGAAATTCAATCACACTTATCCAACCTATTTATCGTTCCAACGGACACATCGTCATTTATTTGAATTACTTGAAGAAAAATGTTACGTACAAAAAACTCCAAATTCATATTTGTACCCAATGTCAGTTGTGTAATTGTAGCATGCACAATACGTGAAAGAGTAGTGAACATATGAATAAGTAGGGAAAATATCAAGTATGATGCAATAAAAATACATGAAGAAATACATTAATGAAAACAGAAAACCAAATCAAAACATTTTTCAGATAAAATTATCATAAAATATGAACAAGGAGAATATTTCAATGGAGACCATTGATAAGGTAAAAGGACAATTATAGCAGGTGTTCCGGGGTTTGTAAGTGTGAGAGAATGTAAGAAATGCTACGTCATCTAAGCAAAAACCGCAAGAGTGGAAACAAAACCACAAGGTATTGAAAAGAGTATGAAGGTAGTTCTAGTAAAGGAAACATTTAGTTCGTGAAACTGTGGAAAAGAAGTACATTCAAAGTATAACTTTCGAATAAAAAGAGATATGTAAATAGATAGATAAAATTTCAAACGAAACATTCACAGCTTCGTCAACTCTACATATGCATTTGCATAAAAGAAGATATGCATGTTTTATCTCTTAAGTAAAAAGCATTCTTCTTACGATTATCCTTGGACGATATTAAACAGATTAATAGAAAAAGAAAAAAAAGAAAAGAAATGAATACAAAACTGATTTAGATTAAATTTCCAACTCAACATTCACATCCTCTTCAACTCGTCAGTTGCACTTTCTAAGTGCAGATCTGTGCTGTTGCGTCAACTAAAACTTCTTAAGTTAAAATCACATTTAATAGATCTTTATCTGCAGCCACCCTCGTGCGATTATGTTCGGATGTTGATAAAAAAATAAAAATAAATAACATAAAATATAATGAAAAATAATGAATATCAAATCAAAATGAAAACACAAATCAAAACCATTAATAAACATCAGTATATGTCCCAAGGATGAACCAGAGTCGACTACTACTCGTCCGCCCATGAGTTTGTATATACTACAATTCCCAGAGATCTGGAGACTCCTTCTCTGTGCCCGAATCCCATATAGTAGAAAATTAAACAACTTCATCATCGTGTAAGGTCCACTAACATAAGTAGAGAGTAGTACTGTTGTGTATGAATAATCCTCCATAAACAAACAACAGTAGCATTACGCCCATATACAGATACTCATATATATATTATCTTGGTCAATAGTCGGGGTTCTCCTGCGCCAACGATGACCCTGGCGTATTGTCTCCAATTCTACAATTCTATATCACTATCAAATGTGCGACAAACATACAACACAATGCTCTAGTGAGACAGTAAGTAGGCGCTCATTCACAGTAGCCACAATCTCATGAAAGACAGTTTATATTATGAAAAGTTCTTTTTACACAACCAATAACATTTTCTATGGGACGTTTCGATGACTCGTACGATATGTACACTGTCAACTTCGCAAAACAAATGACCAGTGAAGCGTATACACACAAAGGTGTAAAATGTGTATCGATGTCGATTCCGGCTACGCTGTACACTGCACTTACAGAGGTACCAGGCATCAACACTATGGTGCATTGTCGTAACGATACTTCCACGCGGATTCCGACATCATCAGTATCGTACGAGAATTTTCATCAAGCCAACAACAGCTGGTCACTGTAAGTCAGTTATTCCTCTGAATTTAGTGTCCTTCAGTGTCGCTCGGTGAAGAATAAGTCATTGTCAATCGGGTATTTTGTAACATCTCAGGACATTTACATTCTTGCATTGACAGAAACCTGGTTAGGTTAAGATATAGATGACCAGGTCCTAGCTGAGCTAATACCAACAGGCTATGGATTCCTCCACAATGCAAGACTCGGCAAATGCGGTTGAAGGGTGGCTGTTCTGTTTAAGAAAGGCCTAAGTGTGAGACATCTCTCTTCCAGCCATGATCATGTATACACATACTTTGAGCACACATCTTGTTCTGTCATTGCTGGTGATAAACAATTTAGATTGTGTATCATTTACAGGACTCCTCCATCTAAACAGAATGCTTTCCAAAATACAGTGTTTTTATGAATGGTCTACCTTTTTAGAACACCATGTTGTTGTACCACAGGAGATTATTATCACGGGTGTTCTAAATTTCTACTTAGACGATCTATCTAATGTTGATGATCGCCAATTCTCTGGTCTACTCGATTCCAGGGGTCTGATTCAGCATCTGACAGAAGCTACACACACCCATGGCCAACACTGGATGTGGTCATAACGCGGGAAGATGACTCAGTCATTCATGGAGCTATTTCAGTGATTGATCCATGGCTAAGTGATGTAAAGGGGAACCAATCTGGTGATCATCTTGCTGTCTCACAACACTGAATTGTAGTAAGCCAGCTCGTGTAAGGAAAGAAGTGAGCCTCCGGAAAATCCGCGAAATTTCAATACCAGATTTCAACAATGACATTCAGTCTTGTTCCGCCCTTCAATCTACTGAAGGCGAGGTTGATGATCTTGTTGAAACATACACATCTGGTATAGAAGTTTATATAAGTTTGGAGTAAATGCAAGCCAATTTTATCATATATTAGTTGGTTTGCAGTTTTTTTAATACTATTTTCAGGTTACACAATGTAAGGTTGTTAATTTGATAATGATTGCGGTGCTAATGAGAAGTGCTGCCCCAACGGCTGCTCACAAACGTATGATAGCGCACTTGTAAGTAATATGTCTATCTTGTTCTACCAATTGAGTTATATCAAGTGACATTTTCCTTTAAATTTACCAGTAGTCTTCGTCATCCTTCATCTCTTGACTATTGTATTTTCAATTAATACGTTTTATCTGTGACTAAAATCATAATATTCGGAGCAGGCTCTTAATAAAATACATTACAAAACCTATTCCTATGTACTACAAGATTGAGTGCGTTTTGCCTTGAAACATAGAAAGAAGATGGCATTTAAAAAACCCGATCAAAAATAGGAATACTTAAAACATCAATAAAGACGTTAAACAATGCACGGTATGCACACGATGTATGCACAATATATGCACGATGTGCAAACGATGACAATCTGGACGACTATTGCTTGCGCACATTTGTGTGACGAACACTGTGCGATAATCATCGCGGTTGGTGAAAATTGAGAAATGGCTTAACAATATGCAGTGTATACGGTTTTGTGTTTAAACATATTAAGTGTATTTCTATAATCTACCTTCTTTCTATTCATATTTTCGAAAATTTAGAAAAGGTGTTTTCAGTATTTTTTAAACGACCCAAATCGACATATGTAAAATTAAAATAAATATGGATACAGTCCAATATATTACCTACATAACTTGTTGAGGTATCGAAATTCAGGTGAAGAAGAGTCGAATAATACGATTATTATAGTCGTATAATAATTTCAACAAAAGGAGGACTTTTAATTGTTTTGAAAGAAAAACTAAAAAAAAAAGGGAATATTCTTCCATAAGAGTAATGTGATAGGTATATATATGGTGTTTGCAGGCAGACCATTGTATTTTACAAATATTAAGTATCTAAAGTCTCATTAATGCTAACAAATGTTGTTTATGTTTTTAATCGTGTTATCAAATAAATACCTTAAGTTAGTAGATGTGGCCACTGTGTACTAAAATGTGACACATTATACTGTTTTTATTTGAACAGAAAATATTTTGTTTTGAATGAAGTGAATAGAAAGTTATATTCTGGTCAATATTCAAAAGTGATATCTTCACACTAGAGCAAAGATAAACCTTTTGATATATGTTACTACATAAACATGTCACCTTCGTCAAAGTGATATAATCTAATATATTGTTAGTAAAAATATGTTGGCGTGATTCTAGAGATATGCTACAGAAACAACAAATTTTGCATTGAAGGTTGTTTAATTGGTGAATGAAACGGAAATCAATCGGAAAAGAAAGCTTACTTTTAAGTTTAAGCACAGCTAGACTACCGGGTTTGTATGATTATCTAGAAGGGTTATAGAGATATGTTAAAAGTTAGGTTTCTCCTTTTTTGACTATTAGATTTCCTCGTCAACAAAGGTAACACAAATCCAAAATTGAAAATCCTAAAGCAGAGAGCAACACTGGACAACTTAATTGATGTAAATCAAAGGTTTGTAGAGTTATCTTCAAGGGTTAACATTTTGTACAACTTTCACACTTTTGCAATAGCTCACATTAATCATGAAATCATTTGAGATCATGTGCAATCATTTATGCAAAGCATAAGACGTATTTAACAGTAAAATATAAATTATAATCCTTTCAAACGGCATGGAAAGATCAGGACGCCAGGGTTATGCACAAAATATAGTCAACTTACGTTTAGTACTATTTAATATATATGTAGCAATCTCGATCATTATCATTGTGTATGAATGCACGGAACTTAGAGGAAGTGATCGGTATTCAGAAGTTTCTCGTGTTATCTTAACCAAAATTGATATATACCCTTTTAAAGAAGTGTTCCGGGAGAGTAATTTTATCAAATAAATTTATGTTTAATATATATCGCACCTGGCGCGGTATTTTGAAAAGTTTCCATAAACATCACTAAATTTAAAGTTCTCGTCTATCCCATATGTAGAGCATTTGATTGTTATCTCGTTAATTAATGAAAATGGTGATAACATTTATGATTTAACTATACAGATAAACATGATGATATCTATATAAAATAGTATTTTTTCTAATATGGAAGAAATTACTTATTATATACAAATTTAGATTTCTTTATATTTAATTTATAATGATATCAAAAATATAAAGATACAGACCCGTACACGTTCGCTGTTCCACCTTGGACGCAAACGGTACGGAAGT